GGTCAGGACGGGGCAGCGCACGGGGCTGGCCGTCCCCTGCAACCTCAGCACGGGCACTGCAAACCTCGCTTGTCCTGCAACGCGATCGCCAGCGCCACGGTGCAGAGCGCAGCGTGGCAGGACTGTCCCAAAGCTTCCCCGGGAGCTGGAGAGACCCTTCCCCACGCTCGGCTTGGCCTGGACACCTCGCGCCAGCTGGAGACGTGGGGCACAAACCAGATAGCCGAGAGAAGCAGCTCTGCTCGAGGGCCTTGCACCGGCTGTCAAGGCTGGGGCAGGCCCTGGGCAGTGCCAGCAGCGGGAAGGACACCCAAGGGACACCCGCATCTCTGCAGACATCCCTCCAGGAGCTCTCTCATGTGCTGGCTTCCCAGGAAGAGCAAGGAAGCGCCACAAGCCCCAAACTTGGGTGGTCTCGGGGCCTGGGAAGAGGAGGAGGAGGAGGAAGGCGGCTCCTCGGACCCCTTGTGTTCAGGCTGTAGCTTGTCCCGAGGAGAGCGAGGGGACCTGTGCTCTGGTGCTCCCTGTGCCACTCGTCCCACAAACCCTGCTGGGAGCAATCCCACATACGGAGCCAGGCTGGCTCCCAGCGGGGCACCCATGCAGTACGAATGGGCAACGCAAACCCTCTCTCAGGATGCAGCAGAGGGGACTGTGACAGCGAGCAGCAGCACGGCCACCCAGGTGCCCCTCAGCCACCCCAATGTCACCGTCCTGCCGAGCCAGGGGCTTCACTCCACACAGTCTGGAAGGGGGAACGTGATGCAAAGCAGAAGAGCCCGAAATGCCAGCGGGCCTGGGCACAGCGGCCAAGGCTCACCTTGATGCCCGAGAGCATGACGGTGACCAGGTAGTAGTCGGGGAGGAGGAGGGCTCTCACCACGCTGCCGTCGCGGACGTGCTCGATGATGGCTGCGGGACAGAAGCACAGACACGGGGCTCAACGCGAGCCGCGGCGGCGATGCCAGCTCCTCCTTCCACCAACGCTCAGCGCCGAGCCGGTCGGAGCGTTTGCAGGAGGAGGACGAGACCAGGAATGGTTTGCACCATTGCCAGGAGCATCAGGGGGTTGCACCACTTGGGCGCTGTGCCCAGCTTGGCTGGTTTCACCCGAGCAGCCCCGTGCTCTGCAACCCACCCACTGCGGCCATGGGCACGCTGACCACAAAACTGCAGGGGGATGAGGGTGGACACAAGCACCGCTGAGCGGCGGGAAGGCCCCTTGGGAAAGCTGGGGACGGTCTCTGCACCCAGCAGTGTCAGAGCGCCCACCGCCGCGGCGGTGTCCACGTACCATTGACCGGCTTCTGGTGCATGGAGTCGACAAAGTGGCGGGGGTTTTCGATGGTGTACTTGAGATCCCGGACGGTGTGCGAGCCCGTGCCTTCGCTCCACATGCCTTTCTTGGCGGACTTGGCCTGCTCCTCCAGCTCCGCCAGCCTGTTCTGCTCAGGACTGCAAAGGAAGAACAGGGATGAGATAAACCCGTGCGGGCCTCGATGCGCCAGAGCTGGGACCTGGGACGTGCAGGCAGGACACAGGTTGAGGGAGGGGATCCTGCCCCTCTGCTCAGCCCTGCTGAGGCCGCATCTGCAGGATTGTGTCCAGTTCTGGGCTCCACAGGACAAGAGGGATGTGGAGCTGCTGGAGAGAGGCCAGCGCAGGGCTCCGAGGATGAGGAGGGGCCTGGAACATCTGCCCTGTGAGGAGAGGCTGAGGGAGCTGGGCCTGTTCAGCTGGAGAAGAGAAGGCTGAGAGGGGACCTGAGCAGTGTCTAGAAGTACCTCAAGGGAGGCAGTGAGGAGGATGGGGCCGGCC